AGGGAAATTATGGTCTTTCTTTGCTTTAGACTTCGAGGGACTTTGAGATCTTGAAGGAGGGGTGGGAGGAGGTCAGGCTGGTGGTCGGTAATGCTGGTGTTGGTACAGGTACAGGGGGTGCTGGTTCTGAGACAGGAGGGGAAGAGGTGGAGGATGGCGGGGGCATCGTGCTGCTCGAGGGCGGGGCGAGCATAGATTTGCGGTTGGAGTTTCGGTGGCCCGGGCTGGTGGGCCAGTATACGCGGCGGGTGCTGGGGGAGGTGGGGGACCGGCCGCATGCGATTGCTGGGGTGGTGGCGGCGCTGGAGGGGGTGACGGGGGATAAGTGCGTGTATGGGGTGTGGAGGTCGTGTGCGGTCGCGTGTTTGCTGTGGGCGGTTGTGGATGGGGAGGGGCCGGGGGAAGTGCTGCGTGTGAACGGGGGGCTGCTGCCGACCTGGTCGTGGATGTCGGTGACGGGGCCGGTGGAGCTGGATCGCGTCGAGTATATGAAGGTGGCGGAGGCGGTGGTTGATTGGACTGCTGGTGGTGATGACAAGACGTTGTGTATGTCGTGTCGTGTGCTGGAGGAGAGTGAGGTGATGGGCGTGGCGCCGCTGCTCGTCTATTGGACGCTGGATGTGGGCAAGCCCGTGTCGGCGCCGCCATCTCCGAGTAATTGGCTTAGACCGCCGGTGAAGGAGCCCCTGTTTTTCTTGGTCATTGCCCTGCAGATAGACCAGACGTTCCTTGCGCTGGTTACTACGGCGGCTGGAGGTGGGGTTTATCACCGTCGAGGGCTGGCGGAGCTGAAGAGCTCGAGCGTGATTACCTCAAAACCGCGGGAGAGCATCTCCTTGAAGTAGGTCGTTACTGTTGTTCCCACCGCGGCCATGATCAGAACAACCCAGTAGCGCACGGGTTGAGCTCGTATGGAAGAATTCGTCCCGTCTGTCCATGGCAAAACGCGGCACGGGGATTTATTGTCACCCCCTGAGCACTGCTATTGCGCGGAGTCGTGTAAGCCGTTCTTGAATGGATGTACTGTGTATTGCGTGCCAAATCCGTTAAACGCCGACTTACGGCAAGATGATGAGGCTTGCTGATGTGCTCTCGGCCATGGACCGCTGCTCTAGGCCCATGGCGGGAAAGTTGACAAAACGGATTCGGTGGCGTTGGGGCTGGGTCACGTTTGATGCCCATGATCCCCGTGATCTTGTCGTATCAGGTCCATCGCACGCGTGGTGTCTCCCGGCTGATCTCGGCATAATTAGCGCGGTTTGGTCGTGAGCCTAGCCTTCAAGTCCACGTGGGAATGCGTGTAAGCTGGATCAGATGTGGGGGGATATACCCCGAGCCTGCTGTCATGCTTCCCTTCACATGCCGGCTCAGAACACAGGTCGAGACACGGTGCGTGGTATGCAAAGTGAATTGCTAGCTCCTAAATCCGCCATATGGCATGATATGTGTATGTACAGTTCGACTCCTGGCAAAACGACAGTGCATCACCGGGTTTCTGCGGTTTCCGTGGCGGGCCGTGGCCTTTCCAATCGTCCCGCCAACCCGTAACCCAGTGGAAGCTAAACAGACGCCACATGCAAACCCTTCCTAGGATAATACCGAATGAATGCAAAACTGTAATGAAAGGTCGGTAAGAAGAGGGGCTTCGGATTTGCAAGACAGAAATGATATCGCTGGAAGCCACGTGGCGCGGTGGCGGACGCATAATCGCAGACGGGGCGATGCCCCGGGGGCACGCTGTCTAACAGCGCTTTCTATTTAGCCGCGAATCTGGGGTCGCTAAGAGGGGAGCGCGAACTAGGTGGCAGAATGAGCGAGCGGCAGGAATTAAGAGGGTCTAAGGTAAGTGGGTATAGAAGTCGTCGCGTGTGTCGTAGTCGTCTCGCCGCAGTATTGGTGGATGGATATCGGAGGAGTCCCAGCCTCCGGAGGTGTAGCCCGTAGGCCGTCTGAAGTCAGGTTCATGGGGGCCTAAGCGTCCCGCTCGCGATCGCCGTCTGGTTCGGGGACAAAGACATAGTCAGCAAAACTCGCGCTCTCGGACAGGGACTTGATAGAGTCCGCGTCGCCCCCCGGCGCAGATGGCTCGTTCGCTCGCGAGGCGGATGCAGGGCGCGCGCCGGTGCCGACGTTGGATGCAGCAAGGTGCGTCTTCGCTTGCGGTCCTGGCGGCCGGGGGGCGGTTCGGGAGGGGGGGAGGAGAGAAGGCGCAAATTCACCTTCGCTTCCCGCGGGGGTGGGTGGGAGTGCTCCCCGGACAGCGGGCTGGCCCTGCCGGGCGGTCCCGGGGCGGCTGCCGGCGTGCTTTTGCTGCTCTCGCACGGGGTAATCCTTCGCGGGGAGCGGCGGGGCGTTGCCTGTCTTCGCGCTGCTGCTGGAGGCGATGGGGCTGCCTTGTCCCTTTAGCCTCGCCTCCATCTCGCGGATGCGGGCCTCGAGGGCCTCGAGCTCAGAGGCTTGGGAGTTGATTTGTTGCTTCCTGCATGGCGCCGGATCAAATCAGCAATTGTTTGCCAGGGTTCGGGTGTGGCGTCGCGGTTGGCGACCTGTCGGCGGGGTTTTTGTGGTGCTTCGGCGGGGAGTTAACTGACCGCTTGTCCACCTTCTCGTCGAGGTCCGCGACGCTGTTGTCGATTCGGAAGATGTCCATCAACTCCTGAGAGAACATCTGGGCGACGGTGCTGCGAGGGTTGCGATAAAAAGTCAGCCTTTTGTCGCGTTACGCGCATTTCCCTTTCTTCAGATCGGGATAAATGATAAATGATAGGGGGCGCGACGCACGATTGCGGGCGGCGGGCGTTTGGCTGCCACTCGCGGTCCATCTCTTGGTCGGACATGGTCACGGCTCCGGCTGCGGCGGCGTTGGACATGGTAGGAATTATATGTATGCTAACAACAAGGTAGGTAGATAGATTGGCGGGGGAAGAGCTGTGCGTCGGTGCGTCGGTGCGTTGGTTTCGAGGAAGTTGTGAAGAGCAAGGCTCGAGGTGGGTTCGGGGGAGATGGCCTTGATCAAGTGCTAATTAATCAATGAATCAATGAAAGGCTTCCCGGGCGGGCTGGTAGTCCAAAAGTCGTTAGTCTCACAGTGCG